TACTCTCTTAACATGCTAAAGATATGGTTAAATCCACAGAATTTATGGAGAATTTCCTGCCAGGAGTTGTTTTGGTTTGTTATATCATAACCTTGATGTTATGGCTATGCCTACATACAGATGTCTCCTCAACTGGCAACCTGATTTATAGATTATTCTGTATAGCCTGAGAAAAGATTAGCAAGGAAGTACCCTGTGTGAGACAAAGAATTCTAAAGCTACAATAGAGAGCCTTGGAAATCATCTGATCCAGGCTTTTGTACTAAAACAATGCTACATCTCAATCTTCTGTAAAATGGCAGTTGTCTGGTTTTTCTAATGTGAAGCATGGGGAATACTTATTAAATTGTGGATTCATAGAATCTGATTACTAAAGTTATTGGAAGGAATTGTGGCAGTCATCCAGTCCAGTATTTCTTTTACCTGGCATTATTGAGGGCCTTTTACGTATCAGGTGTCATAAGAGGCACCGTGGGATCTGCGACACAGTGAAACAGTCTCCCTCCTTTAAGGACTCCCAGTTTTCCCTCACACCTACTGCTAGTAGCCCTACCGGTGACAAATGCCAGCCTCTGATTAGACATTCCTAGCGATAATAAGTGCACTATTTCATAGGACAAGTCATTCCTTTTTCACATGGTTTAGAGTTGGAGGGGACCAAGGAGTTCATTCTATCCAGTTATTCCTGGACTCAATTTTTTATGTGAAATCTTGTTCAGAACACTAATCTATAAAGTGGATAAAATTAGCTGTGCTCCAGATGTGGCCCTGCTCAGTTGGCTATCCCCTCCTTCCTTAAGAGGCCCCACTCATTCCTTAGGATCCTGGCCTAGTAATTTGGATCAACTCTAATAATTAGATTTTTCCTAAATTGAACTTGTTACTTCCTAATTATTCCAAATGCAGGCCCCTGGAGCAGCAGCACAGTATGAATCCACTTAGTCTTTTAAAACTCTTTCAGATACTTGAACAACCAGTATTCTCCTTCCTGCCTGCACCTTTTCTCTTCCAAGAAAAATCAGCCTCATTGCCTTTAACCTTTCTTCAAGGAGCATGTTTTTAAAGTTTTAGTTAAGAAATTTTTAAGTTATTCTATTTCTTCTAGCCTGGAAACTAGAGACAAAACTTCTGTCTTTGGTGAATTTGAAGTTGGTTTTTAATCCCCCTTCCATAGCCTTTATTTTTTACCCCTGAGTCCAAATACTATCAGCCTCTTAGAAAAAGTTATTTAATCAAAATCAGAAAAGAAAAAAAAGATGCTAAAGACGTGGCCTTCGTAGATGGAATTACACTGGCAATCTCAGTTCCCATTTTAGGACCCTGCCCACACAGCATCTCTTACCACAGTCATTCAGATGTCTTTCAGCACCATGAGGCAGGGCCTGAGCTGTGTGCATCCTCTAGTTAATGTGCTGTTGTTGGATCAAGCTTCACAGGCCCACAGTGATGTTCTCTACCCAGAACAGAGGCCTCTTGGTGTCTCACACAAAGCAAATGGAAGCTGCCCGTGAAGGGCAGAGCAGCAGATTCCAGCATTGCCCAAAGTGCTTTGCTTCAGTTTCTTTCATCATCAAAGACTGCCTTTGGGCCGGGAACAAATGATAGAGCCATGTTTGACATTAAAATAGAGTACTTCTTGGTATCTGGAACAGTTAATCTGAAGCCCTGTCTTCTTTCTACTCATTTGAATTGACTGTTCTGTGGTTGAATCTGTTAGATCTGAGAGCATTTTATTCCCTTTGTTTTCTCCCCGTTTCATTTTATGTATAATGGTGTTTTCAAATCCAGTTTGAATTTAATTTCATGTGCTATATATGACACTTAAGAAGTACAAGTTGATAGTACTCTGCTTTTCTATATTTTGTCATATTTTACCATCTTCGCAACATATGAAGACTTCTGTTCCTTTGTCTGCTAGAAATTATGGAGGGCACACAAGATAAAAGCTGCTGTCTTCAGGTATTGACACTGCTCCAGGAGTTCTTAAGCTGGGATCCATAAAACACCTAGGATTTCCATGGCATGCTTTGTGGGCTCCTTAAACAGCCTACAGTTGCATGCAAATTTGTGTGTATAAATTCTTGTTTGCATTTTTCTGGAGATTTTTCAAGGCATCTGAGAGTTAAAAAATGGTTACAAATGGCTAGATAGAAGTTTCAAGATCCTGAAATTGAACTAGATATGTTTTCTAATAACATATTATGATAGTATTGATTTACTTTGTATTTAAGGAAATTGTTGTTAATCTCTGTTTTAAATCAAGCCTGTGACTGAATGTCATACAACCTTGCTCATTTGAATCAGGACTAATAGGGCCTTTCCACACTAAGGATGTATGGAAACCAAAAGAAAACAGAAGAGTGCCATCTAGAGGCCCTAATGACAATTCCACATCTTTGGAATCAGGCCCAGGCCTGCTACCTACACAGGGGTCTTGAGCTTTAGTAACTTTCTAAATTGAGAACGTTTTTTCCTGAAGTAATTGCAGACCATAAAGGAGTGTGTCAGTGATACTTATAATGTCTTCAGATGCTACAATTGTGGGGTCTGTTCTTGCTACTCTGGAAACATAATTTTAATAGAAGCTTAATGTTTAGATAGCATTTCCTCTGTTTTTAAGGGATGTAGCAACTTCAGGCTTTAAGATCTGTGCTGCGTTTGAATATACGTTTAGTCATAAAGCAAGACCAAATTAATGCCTTCTAAAAATCATTTTAATATTGGGACTTTATTGTGTTTCCTAAGTCAGAATAAATTAAAAATTAAGAGTAATTTGCCTTAATTACGCTCAGTATTCCCTTCAAGATGACAATATAGAATAGTGTTTGCCAAATGGTGCGGAAATTGTGGCATTGCAATTGAATTCACAGTTGAATTCACTCTGGAAAAACGGATCAGGCAGAATTTATATCCATGTGAAGAGGTATAACAGGATAGATAAGCATAGCTCTCAAGTCCCAGCTCTGCAATTACTTTGCAATGTTGAGTTTGTTAACTTGTATTCTTGTTTTATAAATGGTGCTGATAATAGTCTCTAGTTTAAAGTTGTGAGGATGAAATGAAATAAAGTTAGAGATCACAGTGCCTTGTATATAAAGAGTTTTTTTAAATTAGCAATAATTTGTTATTACTGCCCAGTTTTATTTTGAGGACAGCTGTAATGAAATAGAAACAAAATTTTAAACCTATATCTTTTAGAATTTTATCATTTTAAAAAGCATTTTCACAAATACAATCTTGTTTGGTTAGAGTAAATGTTCAATAAATATTTGTTCATATATTCAGTAGATACTGATTCAGTCTCTATAAGTACAATGACCATCTTTGGCATTGGAGGTTTGGTACTGGAAATAGCAGTAGGAAAGACAGACCTTACATTGTGGTTGGAGAGTTAGATGATAAACAAGTAAATAAATAAATAATTTCACAAAGACATATTAGTGTTAAGAAAACCAGTGTGTGATGTAAAAGAGAGTGACTGGTGGCCTACTTTAGGTGGTCAGGGAAGAGCTTTCTCAGGAAGTAACATTTAAGCTGTTACCTGATTGATAAGGAGCCAACCATATGAAGGTCAGAGGAGTAGCCATTGCAACTAAAGCAGACAGTAAGTGTAAAAGGAGTGTGTTAAGCATGTGCACAGGCTAGGAAGAATGCCAGTACAACTAGATGGAGCTCAGCGAGCCAAGGGGAGAGTGGCAGGAGATGAGGTCAGAGACAGAGGCTTGGGACTATAGGCCAAGGACTCTGAAGTTTATTCCGAGGGTTATGGGACGTTTGGAGAATCGTAGGCAAGGTAGGAATATGCTCAGATTTATGTTTTAGAAATAGCCCCTCTGCTTCTCTATGGAGCAAGAGTAGAAGCAGGAAACCAATTTAGGAGACTTTTGCAAATAGTCTAAGTGACAGATGATAGTGGCTTGGATAAAGATGTTGCAAGAACGGTTCAGAAGTTTGGATCCTGTTGACGGCACTGCATTACAGAGGCAGTATAGCATGTGGTTAAGAGCACCAAAGAGTCAGAATGTCTCATTTGAAATCTGACTTACCATGTGACCTTGGGCAAGTTTTTTAACTTCTCTGTGCCTAATTTTTACCATCTCTGAAATGGGAATGATGATAGCACCCTTCTTCTAGGATTGCTGTGAGGATTAATTGAAGTAATCATAATTGTAAAGTGCTCAGAAGAGTGTTAATAATGCTGTTTTTATCATCACCACCACCACCACCTTTATCACGAGCACTACTCTCATACCATCCTCAATACCTTCAATTTACAAAAAAAAAACTTAGAGGTTGTTTTTAAATCAAAATATAAGCTGCTTAACTTTGAATCCATTATCCTTTCAGCAATATATTATGTAGTATGAGCTCCTAGAGGGAAATATCTATTGATCTGGCTCTAGCTCAGAGCACCTGTGAATGTTCAAACAACATTGAGAAAATTATAAATAGGGTAAATAGGGCTGTCAAAGAGTCTCAGTGTGTGGTAGGGAGGCATCTTGTGCCTGTGCCCATTTCCCCTGACCTTGAACCATTACAAATTTTAATCCCTGAGTTTTGAAAAGAACTTTTGGTCACCTAAGCTAAAAGTATTAGTGTACACATAGTAATACAGTGAGGAGGAATGAACTCACTATTTTGAGGCCCTTATAAGATACTCAGTCTCTTTCAAGGACATTCAACTCTTCATCAATTGTGTTAAATTGGGCCATGTGTAATATAAATAAATGAAGTGTATGGATTATCCCCAAATTTTTTCTAATCAGACTGTTAGTAAAGGTATTAATGAGACAAGCAGATTTGAATTTCTCTTTTCTCCACCTATTCTGCCTTTGTCCAGTCCCTTCTGAAGTAAGCAATGACATAGGTAAAGACCAAGGAGCAGACGAGACAGATGAGAAGCAAGGAGTTACAAAATCTCTCTGCTCACTTTGCTTTACTAGAGGCACCAGTGGTATCTCCCTCCCCAAGATGAATGGAGGGCTCTTTGTCTATTGCAGAATGTGAGCACTTGATCCGTCACATGCTGGTGTTGGACCCGAGTAAGCGCCTCTCCATGGAGCAGATCTGCAAGCACAAGTGGATGAAGCTGGGGGACACTGATCCCAACTTTGACAGGGTGAGCAGGGAGCTTTAGGGAACTGTTCTCAGAACAACTGCAATCTTTTTGGCATGAAATTGTAATCAGGCCAGGACATGAAAAGGTAGCAGTGCAAACAAACTCTTGTGTAATACTTAAGCAAGGAGTGAAAGTAGGAATTGTAAACCAGCAGAGCTGTTGGAGAATAGCGATACCGGTTTCCTACTCCTTATCCCCAAATCAGTCTCTTCCTGGCTTTTGAGACAGTATAGCCCACAATTCTGCAGCTTACCTACTGTGCGGACATCTCCTTCCTCTTACTTAGTACGCCTATTCAATGGCTCCTATAGCATACCTTTATTTAAACTATTATGGCTATCTTTAGTACCCCAGAGTTGCTCAGGAAAATTAGAATCTTGTCTTTTCACAGCTGAGTATCCAGGGCTTTGTAGCTTAGGCTTTGTCTGAGGCCAAAAACATCCCAAGCTAGGGGACAGGGAATAGCTTGATATGTGATGATATACATAGGTGATATGTTGTGTTAATATGGCTGAGTGGGGATTTGATAGCTTACCTTTTTTTTTTTTTTTTTAATGTTACAGCTAATAGCTGAATGCCAACAGCTGAAGGAAGAAAGACAAACAGATTCTTTGAATGAGGATGTCCTCTTGGCCATGGAAGACATGGGACTGGACAAAGAGCGGACACTACAGGTATCTCTAAAGGATTGGACAACAAAGTGAGATGTCTACTCCCTCAGTTCAGCCTTTTCTCATTTTTTCTCCTTTCTGGGATCTTGAGGCTTTTTTATTTAAGTAATTTTTTAATTTTTCAATTATAGTTGACATATAACACTGTATTAGTTTCAGGTGTACAACATAGCGATTAGGCATTTATATAACTTAAAAAGTGATCACCCCAGTAAGTCTAGTACCCATCTGACACCATACATAGTTATTATTGACTGTATTGTCTATCTTTATTTTATATCCCCATGACTATTCTGTAATTGCCAATTTGTACTTCTTAATCTCTTCACTTTTTTCACCCATTCCCCCAACCCCCCTCCCATCTGCCAACCATCAGGAACTTGAGTCTTTTTTGTTTTCCTCCTGTTCTTCTTCTTACTCCTTTCTGGGCCTTGGAAAGAAGGTGCTTTGGTCTTCTACTGTTACTGTTGGAAAGGTTTGGTCATTGACATGCTATTTCACCAGGGTTTTTTACTCTTCTCTTTTCTGTTGGTAGTCATTAAGATCAGATGCCTACGATCACTATAGTGCAATCTACAGTCTACTATGTGATCGACATAAGAGACATAAAACCCTGCGTGTCGGAGCACCTCCTAGCATGCCTCGAGCCATGGCGTTTCAAGCACCAGTCAATATCCAGGTGGGCAGTGACCCCAGTGACCAGATTCAGGACAAGTAACATTGGGGCAGGGGGCAGAGGGTGTATAGCCATTGCTCACTAACTCTTATGAGAGTTTCTTATTCTTCCTTAGCTCTGTCCCATCCACTTATCATCTGTCCTTTTGTCAGAGATAAGCAAAGATCTGAACCTTTCTTAGAGAAGACAAAAGGGTATTTGGGTACTCAAGATGTGTTTTGTTTTTTGGGGTTTGTTTGTTTTTTTAAGAAACAACAATCACTGAAAAAGACTGTCATCTCTAAAAAATGCCTTTTTAATGTAGCTTCTAAGGGCAGAGGAACCAACGACTCAGAGGTAGAAACAGACTTTAGGAGTCAAGAATACTTTGAAAGACTGTCATATCCCTCTAGTGTTTAAGTAATGTGTGTATCTGTGTATACTGCTTTCCAGGCAGAGCAAGCTGGTACCACCATGAACATCAGTGTTCCACAGGTGCAGCTAATCAACCCAGAGAATCAAATTGTGGAGGCAAGTAGCAACCTCTGAATAGCTGTCAGCTGAAATCACTTTCTTTACGATATCCTTGCTTCCTTTCCTTTCTTCTTATTTCTGATTACTTCTCATTTCTAATTTAATTGTGTTTTCCTCCACCTCAGCCGGATGGGACAGTGAACTTGGACAGTGATGAAGGTGAAGAGCCTTCCCCTGAAGCATTGGTTCGCTATTTGTCAATGAGGAGGCACACAGTGGGTGTGGCTGACCCACGGTGAGTATCTGACCAACAGCCCTAATTAACACCAGTGCAAAGAATTCTTATCTGACTATGAGTTCCTACCATGATGCATTTTTCCTACTTTATTGTGTCTCCCAGATGAAATGTAATCTAGTGGCCAAGACAGGGTTTTTAACCTAGTTCAGAGTCCCTGGTTAGATTAGAATAGATTTGTTAAAAAATTACAGAGCTGTCCCTAATGGATGGTGGACCTATAGCCAAAATCATACCAATTGATCACAATCCTTTGGTGAGTAGTATTATAGTGTCTGCCCACAAAGATTGAGGTCTTTTCATATTAGGTCACGTGAAAGTACCTCTTAAAATTCACATGACTTTGACAGTTTCTAGAGATGTTTGCTACGTGTTCTAATGCAAGACTCATCTAGGAAAGCAGGATAAATGATACAGTGTGATTTACAAATTAAATTAAGGGAACAAGAATTGCAAAACACACTGAATAAATACTGGTTTCCCAAAGTGTTTTCCCAAAATAGTCCTTTAGTATATTCCTGGTGCCCTCACACTGGGGAAATGTCCTGAAGGCCGGCTCTCTCCTTTTTTATTTTGCATTTGAAGACTCCCAGCGTTAAAAATATCCTCACCTCTTTTCTGAATATTTCCTTTATTGAGGAGAGAAGAGATTGTGTCAAGAGTTTTCTTGGGAGTTCAACTAGGGGCAAAGCTAGTTTTCTTATAAATACCTCTTTGCTCTGAGTGATTTACAAAAACCATCCCCAGGCCTGCTGATTTGCTTGCTTTATGTTTCTCATTCTTGGCCTATGTTCAAACAGGCAATGGGGGAATGTTCTGGCTCCAAAGACTATGTCAGCAGTGCTGCTCTACTAGTGGAAAGATCCCTTATTTTAAAGTGTGCTGTAAAATCCTACTGTTGTAGTAGGACAGCCCTGCACATCCACTATGTATCTGTCCCATCAGCACTGACAAGACTATTTGCATTCTTCGCCTGGTGAATCAGTTGCTGCCTTGGGCAGCCATTGCTTTAGTGAGTGGCCTGTGTCCTCCAGAAACTTGCTGTTCCCCCCCACACTCTGCAGACCTGAATGGAACTGATGCCAGTATTTCCTCTTGGCTCAGAGCTGTCAGTTTTACATGAGTGGTCAATAAAGAACAGCATTCCCCAGTTCCAAATAGCCAAGTGGCAGAGAGCCAGATGCTACATATTAGGCTTCTACTTACTTAGGGAAATTTAGGAGGCAAGTAAAAAATATATAATAAAGTAAATTGCATTGCACTTACCAGTTGCATCAGTTTTGGGATATAGCACTTTTGAGTAAGAATATTAATGAAACTTCTCTCTCATCCTGTTTCTTACCAGCACGGAAGTTATGGATGATCTGCAGAAGCTCCTCCCTGGCTTTCCTGGAGTCAGCCCGCAGGCTCCCTTCCTACAGGTGGCCCCTAACGTGAACTTCTTGCACAACCTGTTGCCCATGCAAAATTTGCAACCAACTGGGCAGCTTGAGTACAAGGTACCTGAAGTGGGAGAGGGCTTGCCCCAGAAGAAACACATTTGAACTTCCTTTGAGAGACTGAGAGACCTTCCCCAGGATTTAAGGGTTTTATTGTAGAGAAGGACAGATTTCTCTTGCAACCCATCTTGGATAAGAGGGAAGATTACTCTAGTCTCTATCACAATCAAAAGATAAAAGATCCCTTTATTTCAGTAGGTCAGAGTCCTACTGTCTTCTCTCTTCCTTCCCCCCTACCTCACCAGTCTGTCCTTCCCACTGCACTCTCAACAGGAGCAGTCCCTATTACAGCCGCCCCCACTACAGCTGCTAAATGGAATGGGCCCCCTTGGACGGAGGGCATCAGACGGAGGAGCCAACATCCAGCTCCATGCCCAGCAGCTGCTGAAGCGCCCCCGGGGACCCTCCCCACTCGTCACCATGACACCAGTGAGTAGCCACACAGAGCCCACCTTACTCTCTCTCAGAGGCTTTGGATAACAAAGCTATGGGCCCAGGGTTGGGAGACCAGAGTCTTCCACCTAAACGTCTGACTTTCCTTCTTCTCTAAACTTAAGATGCTTGGTGTATCCCCATTTTCCTCAGGCTAGCACAATTTTCCTATCTGTATTTTTGGCTAACTTCTTTTCTTTACCAAATAATTTCTACACTGAAGCCTGCTTCAGCAGAGTCTCATCCACAGTGGGCCACTTGTACCTTCATTAAGTACCTCTGTCACCCTGCCAGAGGCCAGTGGGATTTAATAGTTTTCTCTGTAATAAATTAATTTTTAGATTGGTTTCCAAAGTTACCTTACCAACCCTTTCTCCTTTGATTAACAGTACCTTGCATTTTTAGTACAACCTGGAACACTTGATTGACTTTCACAAGTGTTAACCTAGTCAGTTGGTGTCTCTCTGTTTTATATGGTGGTTATATTCAAATCCCTGCCCCTGGATTCTGTTTATTTCTGGTTATTTTCCTGTCATAGGTAAAGTCATTCATGTATTCATTTGTTCATTTGATCTCATAGTACCTTAAGATTGGGTAGTAATTATATCCATAGCTCTTTAAAAATCTTACTTTCTATTTTTTAAGATTTTTAAAATCCTACCCTTTATTTCCACACTTAAGCTTATCATGGATTAATAACCCAACAGTTTGTGGATTGGCTCAGGTCCATGGGCCATGCCTTCTGTAACACTGTTGTCAGGAGAAGGAAAGAATTATATTTGTAGTTCTTGGCCTCACTGAGTTTATAATATGGAAAGACAAGATCAACATATGTGAAGTACTGGAATAATAGCAAAAGACCATGTGCGATTAAGTGCCAGAGTGAATACGTGCCATGGACAAGTAAGCAGGTGGCAGAAGCATTCATGGAACAGCTGGATTAGAGCAGGTTACAGAGGATCAGGAACACTTTTGTGGGAGGTTGAGTGACTTACTTTGCCCACTATGACCGTTTATGACAAGGTCAGTAACAAGCTTTTGTTTGAGGAGTCCAGTGGACATTTTTAATCTTTGTCATTTTGGACCTCCCAACTTTGAGACACTATTGACCATTTTCTCTTTGAAATGTTTTCTTTTGTTCTTTTCAGGTTCCCTTTTTGCTTGTTTTTGAGGTTGGTGAAATCCAGAATTTTTATCTTAGGCCCTATTTCCATCTCTTTTTACATACTTTGAGTAACCTTGTACACTCTCATAATTTAAGTTACCAGGTGATTCTTCAGCACAGCATGCTCTTCTGGGATGGAGATACAGAGATAGATAGATAAATACATACACACACACACATATATATATATATATATAAAATCTCCCACAGATTTAGTCAGTCGTCCCAAAATGAAATTGTCTTGACTCTTTGAAACCTGTTTCTCTTCCAGGTTTCAAAGAGTTAAATGCTATTCATTGTCACTCTCCTGGTTACACAAACCGGGGGTGTGATTTTGTCTTTAAGTCTTCCCTCTCCCTTATTCCCCATATCAAATTATTTATCCAATATCTATAAAGTCCATCTTCACTGCCCTACCTTCAGCCATTGTCATCCTTTGCCTACATTAATACAGTGACCTCCTAACTGGCCTGCCACCAATACTTTTCATTCTGCAGCTAAAGTAAGCTAGATTTCTAAAATACAAATCTTGTAACACCATGTCCCTGCTTGAAATCATTCAGTGGGCCCTAGTTGGTGTGGCTCAGTGGATTAAGTGATGGCCTGCAAACCAAAAGGTCTCCAGTTCAATTCCCAGTCAGGGCACATGCCTGGGTTCGGGCCATGTCCCCAGTAGGGGGCTCCTGAGGGGCAACCACACATTGATGTTTCTCCCTCTCTTTCTCCTTCCCTTCTCCTCTCTCTACAAATAAATAAATAAAATCTTTTTTTTGTTTGTTTTTAAAGAAATCATTCAGTGGTTTACCACTGCCCCTTCCTCAAAATAAAGTTTTAATGTGAGATGAAAGGTCATTTATAACTGGCCACAGTGTTCTTCTCCTGCGTCATTTATAGCCACTTTCTGCCTAATCCTATTTTTGCTAGGCCTTACAGAATTGTAATGGGAGATCTGGAAATCCTAGAAACATTGAAACAATAAATTAGTCCAAAATTATTTTGTTTTATAATTGTTATCCATTTAAACAATGCTCTTTCAAAATCATTGAGGTATGATTTTTGCTCTGGTGCCTGAAGCATGGTAATTATGTGAGCCACAAGGCTGTTGGTAACTATCAAGAATGCATAGCATTCCAGGGCATAAGCAGTGGGAAGAATCACATTAAAGCATGCATTGTGATTTACATGTTCCATTTACATGTTTTGGTGGGCAACAGAAATTTTAAAGCATTTCATTGCAATTGTACAATTGTATGTTATGTACTTTTAAAAAACCATCCAGCCTTTCTGGAGTTAAAGACATCCGAACTCTGGAAATAGCATTAATATGCAACAACAGGTCACTTCTTAGACAGTCCAGGTAAACAAGCAGCTTGTGTATTTTCAGGTCCTCACATACCTGCAGGCCTTTTCTCTCAGCCTAGAAACCTCAAAGGCTTATGATGCCTTTTCCTCTTTGCTTGCTAGCTCCTACTCATCTTTCAGGTCTCAGGTTAGGTGTCACCTCCTCCAAGATGGGACTTCTTTGAGTCCCATGTGGCCCATAGAGGACTTGGTTATGCTGTTTTAAAATTATCTGTTTACTTGTCTCTATCCTGCACTAGACTATAAAAGAAGGGCAAGAACTACATCTGTTAACTCACATTTTACCCTGGAACACAGTAGGTATTCACCTCTTTGTTGATAGATGAATGAAAGTGAATCAGAGGAAGAAATCAAAATTTAAATCACCTGAACAAGATAAAAATGGAAAAATAAAAAGGCATATGAAAGTTCTGAATAGTTCAGGGGTCCTAAGAAAAGTTTTGTAAATAAGAAAATTGACGGACCTGCCCCAAGTTGAGTTTCCAGAAGAAGCACCACCTTGAGCTTTTCCTTTCTATCTCTCTTCAGGCAGTGCCAGCAGTTACCCCTGTGGACGAGGAGAGCTCAGATGGGGAGCCTGATCAGGAAGCTGTGCAGAGGTAATGTGGCATCTGGCAGTGCTTATAGAACGTCCTTGGGCAGGCGCCTTCTGCAACCAGTGAAAGGTCACGTCTGCCCAGAGAGGTGGTACAGTGCAGCTACAACATTTGTGTGGTCTCTGTGCTCAAGCCAGATGGCATGTTCCTCCCCGATGGAAGTAACAGAAGACTACCCAGAGAATTTCATTTCTATAAGCACCATTGGAAGTCCCCTATGTGACTGCATTAACCATAAGAACTTTTTCCCTCCTCCTCCTACCTTCCTTGCCTCCCTGCCAAAAACTGCTTATTGAAAAGAAATTGGAAATTTGGGATATGAGAGAGATCCTAGCTAGTCTGGCCATGGATCTGTGGCATGGATTCTTCCTTTCCAGGAGAATGAATATCTTTTGTACTGTTTGCTGTGTGCTGCTTCCATCTCCATGTACCAACGAAGAGATACTGAAAAAGAATATTGGATTTGGGCTAGGGGCAGATGCAGATGTCCATGGTTCACAGAGCTTTGCTGAGTGATGCCTGATTCACAGAAAACAGCAGTGACCATCAGGCATGCTGTACTATTCATTTCACCTCAGTTCCATCAGCCATGCTCCTCAGCTCCAAGCATGCCTTGTGGGAGTTACCATTCTTATTTTCTGCGGAGGGGGGTTTGGCCAGAATCCAGCATGTATTTTCCCAGAAATACAGGTATTCTTCAAGATTATATGTTTTTCCCTTGAGGGGAGTTGAAATAAAATGGTTTTCATAGGCTCTTGGGGAAACTTTGGGTGTCTTTATCAAATGGATATTAAACTACTAATGGCTTACTTTTTTGCAAGTTTACATACCCTTAATTAAACTCTGTAGTGTGGTAACTTTTTTTAGCTTAACGAATGAAGCAAGACCACTTTTTAAGAACCTAATGGTTGCTAGCCAGTACTCTCTTCCTACCCCGGTAGCTCTGTATGAAAGCTACTATTCAAAAAGAAACTGGTCTCATGTGGAAAGAAGAGTGGAGAACAGGGAGCGTTGGCAGGTGGGTCAGCTCCTTCTACAGCTTAGCCAATAAAAGAAAAATCATGGTAACTTTTTCTCTTGATGCTATTGTTTCTGTAGTTTGCTGATAACAGGGTATATGAAGTTGCAAATGGGTCCTTCTGGTGTCCTGAAGAGAAATTAGGAAATTTAACTGCCTCCCTACTTTAATTAGACAGCAATATTTCATTTTATCTTCTTTGTCTTGGACTTTACTTCCTTGAGCCTCATCTTCTTTAGACCAACATTTAAAGAGTAAAATAGTGCCCATTAGTTTTGAGGCAATGAAAAGGAATAGCACTTGTTTCATGCATGCTCAAAAAGAGCAGCAGCGGTAGAGGAAAGAATCAGAGGAAGGGGGTCCAATGTCTTCCCACTGGTATGGACCACACGACAGATTTGAAAGATCTTCAGATTAAAAGCATCAGCTTGTCAACTTTTCAGCTTCTGAAACTTCTGTTTTCTTGCCTTGCCTTTTTCCCCCTCAAAAACAATTCTAAACATTTCATGTTGTTTCATTTCTTCATCCTCTAGACAGTGTTGGTTGCCAGGGAACATTATCAGTTTGTCTTCTCTGATGATCGAGTTACAGTCAGGGGCTTGAGGAAAGGGGTGGTTTTAGAATTTACTGTCCCTGAATGGAAGGATCTGTTTTCTGAGACTTGTAGTGAGGTCATTCACAAAAGCTGGGGACCAGTGGGACCCAGAGACGTATGTGGAACCCCTCTTAATATCTCCCTTGGCTCATCTCTAGGAATAATCCTTAGGGGCTCATTCTTTCCAACTTACATTTTTTGAAATTTGGGAGGGCAAGAATAAAATTAACAAGTAGGAAATAAGTTCTTCTGTTGAATGGAATGAAAAAAGGAAAATCAGTCTTTATGAACTACATCTGCTTTCTCTCTCCTCTTTAATGGCTGCTCTTAGGTCCAAAATTCAGCCACTTCAATGATTAACCAACTTTTGCTGGCCAGTTGGACATGCTTCACTTTCATCCAGTCAGGGATCTGTTTGCCATGGATCCTTTTTTGAGCTGTGGCACTATTTCATTCTGAGTCCTTTAGATTAACTCCTAACGCTTCTTGCTGAGGAATATTCCTGTCTGTCTTTTTTACTATGAAATGTGCTCCTGCTTGTTGCAGGTACTTGGCAAATAGGTCCAAAAGACATACACTGGCCATGACCAACCCTACAGCTGAGATCCCACCGGACCTACAACGGCAGCTAGGACAGCAGCCTTTCCGTTCCCGGGTCTGGCCCCCTCACCTGGTACCTGATCAGCATCGGTGAGTAGCCACATGAGCTATGTGAGCTCCTTGAGGTTCATCGGACAGGCACCCTTCTGGCTAGTCTTAACAGTGATGGTAACCAGCATCGAAGCTTTAAATAGCATTTTGAGCTTACATCTTCTCAGCTCCTTGGACTAAGCAGTACACAGAGCAATTTGAGATTCTTCTTCCTATTACCTCGTAGACATGTTTATTGTCTGCACTTGATTCTTGTGATTTTCACTGTTGACTCAGATGAAATTGAACTTGAAGCCTGCAAGGAGGTGAAGCTCTCAGAGGGCCAACTGGAAATAAGAGGATTTCTGGCCATATTAATAAACCTGGCCTTTAATAACCCATCGCCTTCAAAAGAATGAGCATTTTTTATCATGTTACCACTGAACAATGAGCTAGGATATGGAGGAGGATACATCTCTTTGTGAATGGTAGAGCAGATACTGCATTCTCTTGATTATTGTGCTTGAAAAGTCATTCTTGCAATATTTTGATGGCAAATTCTTTAGGGTTCTGTCACATTTATAATTCATTCCCTTGAAGAAATAAAAAACTAACCATACCTGGCCAAGAAAACTTCACAAAATTGAATCCAAGTAAACCTAGAAGCAAAGAGGAATGACACTTTGCTACATTAAGATGATTATATTTTGTGAATACCTTGATGACTACAAATCTTAGCTGTGTCATTCTGAAAACATCCCCAAGCTAATAGGTCACACTTTCAAAGCCACCCTCATTTGCTAGAGCTTATTTGAATCTTTTTCAGAGGACAATGGAAAGCATTCTTACTTGAGAAGATTGAAAAGCTCTAGATTGAGAAGATTGAAAAATTAAGTTTATAAATATACTCTTATTAAATCTGGCAACCAGTTCATGCTGGCAAGCATGACAGTGTTTTTTATTGTGACTGGTTACCCATTGGGCATCGATGTCATCAGCAAAGACAGGTGAACTCTGAGCAGACTGAGATATAATTAATGCCACGTTGGAATTCTGAAAGAAGGAAGATAAACTTTTATAAACAACCATGAATAACTTAGTAAAAAATGGTCTGTTGGTATCAGGAATGACAGTTCTCAAAATTCTGATGGCACAGAAAGACAATATTTTTCTAAGGAAAATCCTTTAGGACCTACATCATTACAGTACTGCATCAAAAGGTTCTTTGAGTGATTATTAGAAACTGCCAGTCCACCCCATAAATTTTCTATGATTTCTTAATAACTCTGGGCTCAATATTATTACTTAAGAGACCCTTTACTACTGTATTTCTCCTTGTTTCAGTCTTCCTGTCCTCCACAGCCTGACACTTAACTTTTCAGCCCTTGTCAGGTTTAGCTGAAGTCCTTTGGGTATCCTTGTTTAATTCGAAGTGTTCCTCAGGAGGTATTGTTATCAGAGAACCATGAAGATCAGCACATCGCCACAATTAGCCTTTATTACAGATTCTATATCCTGTTTATATTTGTTACTAATGGAATACTACATTGGCTCATAACTCAGTGTATGTGGTTTCCACCCTGCCTGCAGTCATTGTCAGGGCCTTGCCTGCTAGAAGTCTGTCTGCTGTCTTGTTTTCCGGTGGTCAGGCAAGTTTGAATTGAAATAAATGCTTTGTGAGTGGCAGATTGGGTAAGGTAACATTTATGCAAACCCAGCACATATCATACATGAGACTAAAGTTAGTCTACAGTGGAAAGGAGAAACTTTCCAAGGCTGTAAAACACTGAAAATTGGTGGCCTAGCAGATTATTGGATTCCTTGTATTTTTTCAGAGGAAAGGACTCAAGAACAGCAAATATATATATCCTTCTGGGGAATAGTAGATGAACAAAAGCATTGAGACAAAGAGGAGTCTGATCAACCTTTTTAATCTTAGAAGTGTGTAATTTGAAATTTTTAAAGTTTTTAAGTGTAATTTTAAAAAAAAAACTAACATAGGATAGATCTTATCTAGGTGGGGAATTAATCCCTGTTTGAAAAGTGTAGTGAGAATATCAGCCTAATATGAGGCTTACTTGATTTTGAACATGATTGATTATAAAAATAAAATAGTTGATACTGTCAGTGCTTCCAAAATGAGCAACTGCATTAGGACTGTTCCTCTGAAGTTGCTGTGCTGGGTTGACCTGGGTGTCAGTCTGTTTATGCCCTGAGCTTCTGGAAAAGTCAACTCCCTGGAACTGGGAGTACTGCTTGGGTAGGAAAATGGGTTTTGTGCAGATGGACTGCATTAACTACTTGAAGAACACAGCTTTCTGAGTGAATCAGAAATGTGTCCCATTATTAGAAAAAATTGAAAGTGTAAGAATCAAATTTGAGGAGAAAACAATATTTGCTTGCTTTAGCTCCCAAGTTAAAACAGAAGTAAGAAGTATTGAGGAAATGCCTCCAAAAGCAGCTTTTGTGATCACTGTTTTTGGAGTGTGTCTGCCGAAATAATTTGTCTCTTGTGTTACTGAAACAAATATATATTTATGCTCATTTCACTAGCCCACTACTGTGTGCTAGTGAGCACACAGGTAGAGTCTTCAGGTAGAGTCTGAAACAGAAGTCATCGTTTGAAAGGAGGGCATAAAGGGCTTTCACTTGCTGCCAGAACTTGTTTGACCTCTGCACAGTCATCAGACTCTTCTTCCTCCCTCTCTTTATTGTATCTGAACTTGATTGTTAATTTGCTTCCTTAGTCTTGGTTCTGTTTCAGTCCAGAATGAGTAACTGGCAAGGTGGTACCTCATTTCACCCATAGTTCACTGTGATATCATCTCTGGCTGGACATGAAACCTTGATCCTTTCCATCAGCTGCTGGAATGCTGCTTTGGCAGTCTTTTATCTACTTAACCCATAAACATCTCTGTCTGATTAGGTCACAAGAGTACGTATTAGCTTCTAACCCTGATGCTGTCTCAGGCATTCCTTATCAATAGCTTGTTCTTTCTTTCTCTAAGATACTGGCTGTGTTCTGATTGATCAGTGGAGTTTTTGAAGGTAATTCACATGAATAATCTTTCATTAAGAGGTTAGAAGAGAGGTTAATTTTCACAGTAGGTAACCTTATTTGCTTTGCAAGATTTTGAGGTCCACATTCTTAAGAATGTGCTATCTCAGCTTGGAATTAAAAGTCCCCATTGCCTTTCTAGCACAGAACCTGTTCACTCCAGGCCAGACCATTGACCACAAAGCTAGCTGTAATTTCCTTCGGGTCATACAGCACTTACTGCTCAGGGAAAACTTTGAGTCAAACAGTGAATTTTAGATTTCTAAAAGCACTAGACAAAGACATGATGAGTAAAAAAATAAATAAAAAAGAGTTTCTATAATAGCTTGGCCTGAGGGTTATAGAGAAGCTCTTCTTTCTGACCTGGTATATTTGTAAGAACTGGATATATTTGATCCTAGGACAGGACCTCACCAGATGTGGCAATTAAGCCAACCCAAGGTAAGTGGAAATGGAAGCTGTATACCTGAATCCCTCTAACAGGGGAGTAGACTGGGGTAACAACTGGCCTCTGGATATGACATGGAAGTGGCATCATATGCAGGGGCACCGAGGCAGCCAGCCATCTTTGTGTCCATCTTGAACAGGAGTCCTTAGGTGATTTGGTCAAATCCCCTGAGTCCTAGCCCCTAATCTTCTCTTCCCATATATTCAGCTCTACATACAAGGACTCCAACACCCTGCACCTCCCTACAGAGCGTTTCTCCCCTGTGCGCCGGTTCTCAGATGGGGCTGCAAGCATCCAAGCCTTCAAAGCTCACCTGGAAAAAATGGGCAACAACAGCAGCATCAAACAGTTGCAGCAGGTAATGGAAGAAATGGCACACATCTCTGGAGAAGCATGGGTTACAGAGACTACTTCCATCCCCTTCACATCAGCAGTGCGTTAGTTTTATAGGTTCAAAGCCATACAGCCTTCTAATGTTCTTTGCTTGCTTGTTCTGGTCAGCTTCCCCCAGGAACAAATTTGCTTATCCCATGAAGGAACTGAGTTTTCCTTTTGTCTCTGCAATTTATTAGAGAGGAACTTCTGGACTTGGATTTTAGTGGGGAGCACCAGGGAAGGTACTTGTAAGCACCCCTTGCATTGCTCTCAGAATGGGCACTGGGTCTTGTGGGAGTTTGTTTAGTATTGCTACCACTTGGCATACTCTCCAGTTGGTATGGAATGGTGCTTGCAGAGGAAGGAAATATACCTTCAGACCTCTAAACTAGTTTCCTTTCTGCCTTCCTGATGACCAGATTTCAAGAGGCATATTCTTTGTACACAGACTTCACACTGGACATTTTCACTTGTACACAGACACCATCCTTGGTATTTTCCACTAGTTCATGCAGAACAAAGTGTGAATATATATTTAGTACATAAATACCTGTATAAATGGATGAGTTGCTCATCGAGTATGCTGTTCTCTTGTGGCTCTTTGTTCCCATGAGACCTTAGGGCAGATCTGCATCTGCTGACATCACTGCATGGGTGGGCCTGGCTGTATCCCATCTGTATTATCTGCCTTCCCTTCAGGAGTGTGAGCAGCTGCAGAAGATGTACGGGGGGCAGATTGATGAAAGAACCCTGGAGAAGACCCAGCAACAGCATATGTTATACCAGCAGGAGCAACACCATCAAATTCTCCAACAGATTCAAGTAGGCCTTTGTTCTTTGCTCTCCCCTACTTGTTTAGAGTTTGCTTTCAGGCTGATTTGTCTGTGAATTTTGGAGGAGATCGTGTAGAGCAAAATGGAGTTGAGTTATGTTCATGGTTGACATGTTCGGGTAAAAGTAGACTTTTTGATGAACAACAAAAGCATACATCTCAGTGACAGTTCTTTCTTTTCTTTCCCTGAGAATAGCTCATGTTAATCTTCACACTCACAACTATTTTTCTCTTTTCCTCCATATGTTTTAGGATTCTATCTGTCCTCCTCAGCCTTCTCCACCTCTTCAAGCTACGTGTGAAAATCAGCCAGCCCTCCTCACCCACCAGCTCCAGAGGTAATGAATCATTTTGTTCTGCACCTAAGCCATTGTCTCTATAGCCTGGTGTCCTTGGCCTGCCTTCTATGGGAGATACTGACTGACTTTAACTTTCATCTTGGAAAACTTACTTGAAAAGCAGAGAAACCAATTTAAATTTCATCAGCCTTCCTAAATCCTGACTTCCTGTGCCACTTCATTTTCTTAGCCACATGAGTAAAGTAATCTGACATCTAATACAGAAGGTCAGACACAGGCCCACAATGACCTCTGTCTATTTTTCTGGGAAGTCCTGGAAAGTAATCTGTAGATAGGTTTTAAGTAGACTGTGGTGGGTGGTTTACGTATGTTGTTATAGACTGGAGGTTTATGAAAACTGAAAAAATAGCTGCTGCTTAAGTGTATTATATGGCTGAAGCTAATTTCAAGGTTATACTGTCACCTCAGGAAATTTACTTACCTGGTTTTGTTGTTTTTTAAGGTTAAGGATTCAGCCATCAAGCCCACCCCCCAATCACCCCAACAATCATCTCTTCAGACAACCCAGTAACAGTCCTCCCCCCATGAACAGTGGCATGATCCAGTCTCATGGTGAGTGGAAAGATTTACACTGAACCATACTATGCCACGTGAAAAAAGTGAGTCGTCATTTGGAATGCCACAGGCAATTGATTTGAATGACAGAATAACATAGTATTTAAGGGTGTGGGTTTTGGCTTAGACTGCCTTGGCTTCAGGCCTGTTTCTACCAACTCCTTAGCTATGAAACCTCAAATAAGCTATTTAATTTCAGTTTACCTCAGCTTCCTCAAATGTAAAATAGGGATGATAATAGTATTTAATGAATAAATATATGCACTTGAAACGGTCTCTGGCACAAAATAATCCTCAGAAAAGGTTAACTATTAATATAGTTTTAATAAAACACCCTCCGACTCTATAAAATAAAAAGCTCCTACCAGAATGTTCCTTATTATCATGCCTCCTTTTGGTTATCCATTGTACATGTGTGTCTTCTCTTGTGGGTGTTTAGATGGAGGTAAAGATAAGTATACTCTAATTAGTATGGGTTTTTTTAGAGACCAGCAGTATGAGGATTTAGCATTCAAAAACTGGTAATCTCTTACATAATGCGACACAATCTAGATCCCCTGAACAGTCTGAATTGGTCTCTATATTCTTCCTACTCAAGGTAGGGTTCCCTGACCAACAACCTCAGCAGGAAAATTAGAATCTCAGGCCCTGTTCCAGACCTGCTAAATCAGAATCTGCATTTTAGCAAGACCCCCAGGCCATTCGTATGCACATTGAAAAACACTGCTCTAAATCATGGAATAATCCATGGACCAACTTCCACAGCAACTTATTAGAAATACTAATCCATGGGGCCCCAGCCTGACCTACTAAATCAGAATTCTGTGGGTAGGGCCCAGAAATCTGTGTTTTGACAGGTCCTGCAGATGAGCTTTATGCACACTAAAGTTTGAGAGGTACTGCTCTAAATGGTATGGTTTGTTATCTTCATTGGCCCCCATTGCTTCCAGCTGGCAGGTACCCTGAGCATTCAGTCACTCTGAGGTATCTTTTTCTCTAGGTGCTGCATCTCCCTCCCAGTTTCAAGGCTTACCCTCCCGCAGTACGATCTTCCAGCAGCCACCTGAGAACTGTTCTCCTCCTCCCAATGTGGCACTTACCTGCTTGGGCATACAGCAGCCTGCCCAGTCCCAGCAGGTGACCATCCAAGTACAGGAGCCTGTTGACATGCTTAGCAACATGCCAGGGACAACTTCGGGCTCTGCTGGGCGGGGCGTCTCCATTAGCCCCAGTGCCAGTCAGATTCAGATGCAGCACCGTGCCAACCTGATGGCTACTTTCAGCTACGGCCACCGGCCCTTGTCTAAGCAGCTGAGTGCTGACAGTGCAGAGGCCCACAGGTAAGGCTAACTAAAGTTACCCAGCCAGCTGTCCAAGTGATCCAGGAGGGAGAAAGCTCCTTAGCAGGGCAAGAAAGGAGGAGGGAAGAAAAATGGGTTTAACTGGGCTGTGCTTGTTTCACCCTTTCTAAATCAGAGTGGTGGGTTTGGGTGAATTTGAAACCTATTTATTGACCAAATAAGGGATCAAAATGCTAATGAGACAGGAGAGGAAAATTACAAAGTTATCTTACTATTTTTCTGCAAAGAAGAAAATGGTCTACTAGAGAAGTTGGTTAAAATGCCAGTTTTCCTTGTCTATTCTTTGAGGATTCTTCCCTCTGTCACTTGTATTCTAAGAGATCAGTGCTTCTTCGTAGCTTAAATGATGCTGTAAGATAGTGACTACCTTTAACCCAGAGCTGGGTCTATTACACACAGTGCCCTAAATCCCTTAGACATTACTGGGTAAGTGAGTGCAGGGATGAGTTGGGTTGGTGCATGCATCCCCATCTTCCCTGTCACTCCTCAGTTCTCTGTATCAGTGGAGCTCCCTACTCAGAAAGAGAAGTAGCTATTCTCCAGGGGAGCACAGTGCACTTGTTACATGGATGCCTGGTACTCACTCCCTTTTGTATCTGCAGCTTGAACGTGAATCGGTTCTCCCCTGCTAACTACGACCAGGCGCATTTACACCCCTACCTGTTTTCGGACCAGTCCCGGGGTTCCCCCAGCAGCTACAGCCCTTCAACAGGAGTGGGGTTCCCTCCAACCCAAGCCCTGAAAGTCCCTCCACTTGACCAATTCCCCACCTTCCCTCCCAGTGCACATCAGCAGCCACCTCATTATACCACGTCAGCGCTGCAGCAGGCCCTGCTGTCCCCCACGCCGCCAGACTATACAAGACACCAGCAGGTACCCCACATTCTCCAAGGACTGCTCTCTCCCCGGCATTCACTCACCGGCCACTCGGACATTCGGCTGCCCCCAGCAGAGTTTGCACAGCTCATTAAAAGGCAACAGCAACAGCGACAACAGCAGCAGCAGCAGCAAGAATACCAAGAATTGTTTAGGCATATGAACCAGGGGGATGCTGGGAGTCTGGCTCCCAATCTTGGGGGACAGAGTATGACAGAGCACCAGTCTTTACCATATCAAAATACTGACTCATATCACCACCACCACACCAGCCCCCAGCATCTTCTACAAATCAGAGCACAAGAATGTATCTCACAGGTTTCCTCACCCAGCCCGACCCATGGTTATGCTCACCAGCCAGTACTCATGCCTTCAGAGAGCATGGAAGAGGAGTGCTCATGCGAGGGGGCCAAGGATGGCTTTCCAGACAGGAAGAGTTCAAATGCATTGACCAAAGGTTGCCAAGACAGCCCCCTACTCCTGAGTACTGGCAGACCTGGGGACCCTGAATCTTTACTAGGAACTGTGAGTCATGCACAGGAATTGGGGATACATCCATACCGACATCAGCCAACTGCAGCATTCAATAGAAATAAGGTGTCCAGCCGAGGTAAGAGTCCCTTCAAAGTAAAAGTCCTGGGCCATTCTGCCCCAATTCAATTAACTTAGTAATGTTATTTTTTTCAGCTAGTACTCTGTGTTCCTAAAAGAAAAAGAATTTCTGAGAAGACCTTCAGGACCTTTTGAGGGAGAAGCATGTAGGAAGTGGGAATTGGTGGGTAAGGGGTCTTAATTTTCAAAATTAAAAGCTTAGTGATAGAAACTTAACACATAGATAATACAATAAGTAAGATATATTATCTATTTCGCATATTCATGCCATGTTTTTTACAATACAGAATTTCTTAACATCAGAATAGCCAACTTGAACTTATGCAATAGAAAAAAAGTCAACCAGTGGTAAGGAAATATAATTTAGATAAACATAGGTAAACATATTTAGGTAAATAACATTGGACCAAAATTCAGAGCGTCTCAATTCTGAACTTGCTTCTGTCATGAATGTGACAACCTTATCACTTACACCTTCAGGTTCTTATTTTCCTCACCTGTGAAAAAGAGGCAGGAGGAGTGATAGTGCTTTACAGAGTATTTTGGAAGATTAAAACATATATATGTGTTTTTGTCTATATGTAATGTGTGCATGAGAGAGTAAGAAATGTAATCTGAAATTATGATATAAATGTGAGGTATTAATATTATTACTCTGATCACTTCATTAATAAACTAAGAACAGATTGTTACAGCATTGTAAGGAGCCCCATGTCATTTCATATTGTCTTTATAGTAAATGATTACATTCATTTTCATTTGAGGGAAATTAATATTACCGTCAGTAGATTATACTCAAAAAATGTTGTTCCATTAATATTATAACATTCATCCTAAACAAAATCTGGATTAATATCCATCTTGTCATTATAGATCTTGAAAAATGAGTATATCCATAAATTTGCAATCCTGAAACTGAGCATTTCTTATATCCTTCCCTTCTTGGACCTACCTGCATCTCCTACAGTGTCTTTTAAAGTGAACACACAAAACTCAGCTGCTAGGTCCCATGGTGCAGGGCAGGACAGAAGACCTTACTCTAAATCAGTTTATGTGAGAAAGACTTGGCGCTTTCATGTTGTGCTCACTATGCACTGACAGGGAGGGACACCTGGTTGCATAAAACACCTGTTAAATCCTTGGCTTTTGAACAGTTGGGTGCCATCCCTCTTAGAGATGTGCACCAGTCAAATGTATTGTGAGAAGTTTCAGAACCAAGTCATATGGGGAATGGCTGACAGACCTGGAGATGTTTTGTATTGGGGGAAGTAAACTAAGGAGAATTATCATACTTCTTAGATGGAAGAAGATATTTGACTTTTCTGGGTTCTTATTTGGGGGCAGAACCAAGATCAGAAGAGAAGTAGCAGCAAGTGTCAGCTCCCTAAGGACTTTTATAGGAAAGAATCTAGACTTCCAGTCAAGATGGAGGTGTAGGGAAACACACACCACCTCTATGCACAACTAGGCAAAAAATACAACCAGACTGCAAAATAAATATCACCCAGAATTGTCAGAAAATTGAGCTGTGTGGAAGTCCAGCAACCAAGGATTTAAAGAATCCACATTTATCCAGGAAGGTTGGAGGGGTGGAGAAAGTGGAGCGGCACAGAGAAGCACGGAAATGGAATGGGTGGTCCCACAGCCATGCGTGGTAGATAAAAAAATGAGAGGGATACCTTGGGAACAAGGGATCCCAGCCCTAGTCCAGACCACCTAGCCCTGGGTTCCAGTGCCAAGAATATAAGTCCCCATAACTTCTGGCTGTAAAAACTGGTAAGGATTGGGGTAGTGGAACACACTGAGGGATTCTCAAAAGATTTCTCTTACAGGGCCCACAATAGACTTAGGTCTTGTGTAGGCCCACACCCTCTGGAATTCGGCACCAGGGCAACAGCTGGAATGGCATTAGTGGCACATGGGGAGAAAGTGAAATGTGAGTGCTGGGAGACAGCTTTCTCCAGGGCAAAACTCTAGAGGCCACACAACAGCGCTGCCCCCTCTGTTGCTATATCCCCACACAGAGCAACAGAGCAGTGGCACAGGTTGCCCCTCCTGGGCGATTACATAAGACTCCACCCCATACAACTTAACAGGTGTGCTTTTCTACAATAGGCCACACTACTAAGACAAGGAGTCCAAGCAGCTCTACCTAATATACAGAAACAAACACAGGGAGGTTGCCAAAATGAGGAGACAAAGAAATACAGCCCAAATGAAAGAACATAACAAAACTCCAGAAAAATAACTGAGTGAAATGTAGAAAAGTAACCTATCAGATGTACAGTTCAAACAGTGGTTATCAGGGTGCTCCAGGAACTCACTGAGTACTGCAATGGCATAAAAAAGACCCAGGCAGAAATGACAGCTGCATTAATAAATAAATTTAAATTAAGTGAAATAAATAAATAAATAAATAAATAAATAAATAAATAAATATTTTCAAGGAACCAACAGTGGAGGAGATGAAGCTGAGAATCAAATCAACGATTTGGAAAAAACAAGGAAGAAAAAATCAATCAGAATTGCAGGAAGAAAAAAGAATTCAAGAAAACAAGGATAGACTTAGGAATTTCTGGGACATCTCAAAATGTACCAACATCCAAATCATAGGGGTGCTGAAAGGAGACGAGAAAGAGTAAGAAATTGAAAACTTATTTGAAAACAAATAATGAAAGAAAACTTGCCTAATTTGGTGAAGGAAATAGTCATACAAGTCCAGGAAGCACAGAAAGTGCCAAACAAGATGGACCCAAAGAGGACCATACCAGAACACCTCATACTTAAAATGCCAAAGGTTAAACATAAAGAGAATCTTAAAAACAGCAACAGAAAAGCAGATACTTACCTATAAAGGCATTCCCATAAGACTGTTGATTGATTTCTCAAAAGAAACTTTGCAGCCTAGAAGGGACTGGCAAGAAGTATTCAAAGTGATGAAAAGCAAGGACCTACAACCTAGAATACTCTGTCCAGCAAAGCTATCATTTAGAATTGAAGGGCAGGTAAAGTGCTTCCCAGACAAGGTAAAACTAAAGGAGCTTATCATTACCAAGCCATTACTATATGAATGCTAAAGGGAATTATATAAGAAAAGATCAAAATGATGAACAATAAAAGGGTAACAAATCCACAACTATCAGTAACCGAATCCAAATAACAAACTAAGTAAACAACCAGAACAGAAGTGGAAGCGTAGATATGGAGATCATTTGGAGGGTTATCAATTGGGAGGGGGAAGGGGGGAAATGAAAGGAAAGTACAAGGATTAAGAAGAACAAAATAAGATGGGCGGGGGGTGGGGGAGGTGTTAAGAACAGTATACATAATAGAGAAGCCAAAGAACTTATACGCTTGACCCATGGACATAAACTACGGGAAGGGATTACTAGAGAGAATGGGGGTACCAGGTGGAGGAGGGCAAAAGGGAAAAAATAGATAAAGCATAATAGTATAATCAATAAAATATATTTAAAAGGAAAATCAAAAAAGAACAATTCTAGCACAGGCTGTCTAGATAGCCTGGGAATTTTCTGTCCTAGCAGAAGCAGCATGGTGGTATTAGGGATGCTGTGGGAGACATTCTTGTATGAATGAAAGCTTTCATGAGATTAGCATACTATATTTGTAAAAAATGAACTTTTAATAGGGTTTTCCATGTGTTAGACACCAAACACTACTCTCATATAAATTTATTTAATTCTCTTAATGACCAAATATGGTAATAGCTCTCATCCCATCTTCTCAGTGAGACATCTGAGGCACAGAGTAAGTAATTTACCCCCAGGGTCAACAGCTTAGTGAGTAGGTGACATCTGAACGCAAGGGTCATTCAGTTCACTCTAGCATATACCTAATGAGCATGTCCTTGATATGCAGGGCACCAAGGAAAGAGCAGAGCTGGAGCAAATAGTGTACCTTCCCCATTCCCCCACCCTGGATTGCCATGTATTGAAACACCTTTTGAAATGTTTTCGTACAAAATTTATTCTAATTTCTCTTCATTTTTCCCTCTGGTCTGACTCTTCTCTGCAGAAAGACTGGAGGGCTTGAATTCACCTACATCCTATAGCTGTCAAAGGAATCCCCCTTTTAGCGGGCTTGCTGATCTACTTAGTACCTAAACTAAGGCAGAATGTGTTCTGTCCAAGTGTGGGAGTACCAGAGGTGGGAGAGATTATTTCTCAGTCAGAGGAATTAGTTCTCAACTGGCAGTCAGTGGCATTTGAATTGGGTATGATGGATGAAGATTTTGCCATTTGGATTTTGGAGAGAAGTATGAGGAAAGACCAGTGGGTAAGAATGTATCGGGGATGTTTTGAGGGAATAACAAGCAGGCTTGGTTGGTTTTTGAGAATAGTGTACATGAAGGAACCTAGTAGGAGTTAAGGACAGAGATTTCCTAAAATCCACAGTATGGTCTAGATCCAGCTGCAATGTGCCAGGACAGTAGTGGCACATTACTCAATTCTGCTGGTTGTAAATCAGTACACAATTCTGTAAATCAGTCATGCCCCTTTTAAATCTAAGACCTTCACTTCAGGCCAGAACTTCAGGGTTATAATTCTGACAATCTCTCTTCTTTCCCCAGCTGAGTTACTATCATTACCTCTCTCCTTTGTCTTCTCCCTACATTCTTACATCTACCACCGTCACCACCATTCCCCCCTACAAACATCTTTTGTGCTTTCTGGAAGAAACCAGAGTAAGTCTATTCCTAAAGGTTTCAGTTCAACACTCTTCTGTCCTTGTTTCCTCATTATCAGCTTTGCAGGTATCTTCCCCTCAAAGTTCCCTTTTTCCTTAAATATGTTTTTCTGTTATCTTTGGTATAAGCTTTTCTAGAAGCTATAGTCTTAGATCCTGCCAATGTATTATAGAGATTATCCTTTTTTCTACCCAGTTTGCTCTAAACTTAATCTTCAACTTACCTATAGACTATGCTTGTTCTCACTTGAATACTGTTCATCTTTTCCTAATATCTGCTCCTAGTTTGTG